CATGGACGACGGGGGAGAGGGGAGAGAAGGTGTTGTATTAGGAAATAATGGTTTGCAGATCTTTGGATGATGCAGACGGGCAAGCCAGACACAATTTTTGTCTATTATGAAAAGTTTTAAAAGGTTTATTCTACCCAAGTGCCAGCCTTTTGTAATGGATTGGTGGATCGGTGAGTAAGTGACTGCCCAAATTTTCGAGGTTAGGTCAAAATTTCAGAATTCGCTAGAAGTTTCGCTCAAAGGGAGAGTCTGACTCCCTGATTACGAATATCATACTTGTTCGAAGCAAAAATGCCTGGCGCCTGCGCTACAAGCGCCCAAAGTAGTGAGGAGCGATGCCGCCCAAGTTCGTTATTAATTGCCCTTAAATTCTTTGTACTGTTAACTATACGCAAGCATGTTGGACTAGCGATGTTAGGAGTCTTCCTAGCTATCTTACTGCAAACGGCAAAAGAACAAACTCGCCAGGGAGTTGATCCCCTGACCTCTTTTTCGTGAGCCTCGACCACAGCCCCTGCGCTTTTCTGCTTCATAATTCCTTTCAGAGAAGAGTTCAGCAGATAAGGAACACATATTTGAGCTCAGCGTCCCAAGGCGCGTATACACATATACATCTCATTTCAAATGGCCGGGTTGACCAAATGACCTTTCCTGGTAAGAGCTGCTGAAGAGGAGCTTCGCTCGGAGCGTAGCGTTCGACTGTTTTACGTTCTTTTCTTTTTCGGATCCTCCGACCCACAGATTCATTATTGAATGCTCTTACACACCCACTTTACCCGGGGGCTTTTCTTTAGGTGTGTTGCCAGTGGAGGCAGCACAGCAGAATGACTATTGACTAATTTTACCAAAGCTGTGTGACCGCAATCTCCTCTCCAGAAAAAAAGGCTAATATTATAGAAGGGTACGATTTGTTTTTTTTAATTCGCTCCACATAGTTCACAACGGTTGTTTCGTATCTGAATAGCCACAACTCGCCGGGGATGAACGCAGCTGAGCAAAGTGGCGAATCATAACTGGGGAAGAATGTCGCTTAGAACCAGAGCAGGTAGTTCTCGTAAAATGGCATAAGTAGCTGCACCAAACTGAAGAATAATTTGGGCTATAGGATCTCCATGGATACTGCTTCTGCCCACGGACGTCGGTAATTTATACGACAGAAAAGCAGAGAACTTCGAGCCTGGAGTGAAAGACCGAAAGGATCCTAGCAGACATAAAAGGATATCATCAAGAAGGACTGCATAGAAGTCATGACACTTTGGAAAGTGCCCAGGAATGGAGTCTAGGGCGACGCTGACCAGGAAGGTCTTTCAGGGCGTGACGAGCTTTTTGAAAACGGTCTTTTGCATGATATAGGGGCAGATGCGGGAACCACAGAACCATGTTCAATTTTTCCTGAACGGCCCTCTGAATACCAGAAAAGGAGGTCCCTAGTTCGATTCCTCTTGGTGACAAATTTTTGCATTTCGAGTTGACGTTCCAAAATTCGCGCAAAATGGAGTTCTGATTGTTCTGGTTGGTTCTAACTCCATTTTGCGCGAATTTTGGCACGTCAACTCGAAATGCAAAAATTTGTTCACCACGAGGAATCGAACTAGGGACCTCCTTTTCTGGTATTCAGAGGGCCGTTCAGGAAAAATTGAACATGGTTCTGTGGTTCCCGCATCTGCCCCTATATCATGCAAAAGACCGTTTTCAAAAAGCTCGTCACGCCCTGAAAGACCTTCCTGGTTAGTAGGATCAGGCAGCCACCGTGGTGGACTGATGTAGTAGTGATTAAGGGAAGCGGTCACGCTGGCTTCCACGCTGGATTTGCTACCCTCGCGTTATCAATCGATAAGGTGTGAGGCAGTAATTGTTGGACGAGTGTAAGCCCATGGAAGATATGATACGATGAGATAAGAATATCACTTCTTGATAAGGGGCCACTGCCACTGAAACTTTACGTGTTCTAACATTGGGCAGGACCTCTATCCACTCCAATACATAGCTTTCCTTATCGTTGCCATGAAAATTATCGTGACTGCTTCCTTTAAAAAACACAGCAGGTGCGAAAGGCTAGTAGGTCGATTGAAAGGCTCCTATCTGGTAGGAAATTGCTTTACTGCTCGGATGTTATACCTTATAAACGAATGCTCTCCTCATACCTCAGCTCTTATGGAAATCCCACGGGTGTCACCTTTCCACGTTTTTAGCTTCTACAAATTGTGTATCGCCTCCGAGTCGATTGACATGTACTGACAACATACCGCGGTTGGCTGCCTGACGCTGAATGCGTTTCATTACGTCATGGTCTGGACGCTGACGATGGCTACCAAACCGCGTCGCAGAAAACTCCTTGATCGTGTAAGAGACGTGATTCTTTGGCGTGTAGGAAAACATCATGAGATTCTGAAACACTGACAATCAATCATCATTTTTTGCGAGTTCACTTGGTGTAGTGGGTTTTCAAGGCTGCCCCTCCCCCTTAACAATAAGGAAAGCTTCTCAATAAGACCATAAATCAACACAGAGAAAATCCGCTTTGGTTTCTTCGCGCGCGTTTTTTCTGCCTGATTGAAACGCAAATACAGCAACTATTAGCTTGAAATTGTTTTAATGGAAGAAGAGTTTTCGTTTTTTTGTGATTTTTTCCTCGAAAGGAATTCGGCATCGCAGCTGAATCACTTTTTCTGAGTCAAAGTCCTGGCACACCCTCGAGTGGAAGCGGAGGAATAGACAACTCGGTTCTTTCACAAACGTGTATAGAAGAGTTGCTGCTTACCGACTGCGGTAGTACTACATTATCATCCGCGTTTGAAGAGTGGACTGGCTCGAGTTTCAGTTGAACGTATGCATCTTCAACTTCACACGCTGTAATTAATGTGTGTAAGACATAGTAGAGCACTCACAAGGGGGGGGGGGGTCTTTCAGGACAAGCCGCGCTTTTCAAAAACGGTTTCTTGCATATTGTAGGGACGCATGTATGGACCACAAAACCATGTTTCGTTTTCGCTGAACGGTTTTAGTAGTATCAAAAAAGTGGTGAATGATACCCTTGATGGTTCGATCCCCCGCGGCGACTAAATTTTGCATCAAGGTTGGCGGCCACTTGTTGGCTTCAAAATGGTCCTGACGATGAATTATGACATCTGATTTTGACATTTAGCGCGATTTGGCACCAACCCGTAGGCGCCAACCCAAATGCAAAATTTAGTCGCCACGGGGGATCGAACCATTAACAGTACCTTATGCTTCTTTTTTGGTACTGCTAAAACCGTTCAGCGAAAATGAAACATGGTTTTGTGTTCCCTACATGCGTCCCTACAATATGCACAAAACCGTTTTGAAAAAGCGTGGCTTGCCCTGAAAGACCCCCCCTCTTGTCAGAAGCAGCGATGACGATAGATTCTGGAGGGGTTCAGACAGGACATGGGGGTGCTCAATGGTACACCGAAGGCGAAAAAAGCAGAGAAGAATACATGTCAAGAATACGCAAAATAGTACCCCCTCAATTGCCCGTTCATTTTCGACCATGGATGAGTAGGTCAAAGAAACCGTGTTAACCCCGATAGCCGCCATCATGCCAACAAGCATAGAGTTTTGATTGAAAAGGCATTACATAGGCAAGTTGGAAGATACAGCCGCTAAGAGAAATGACTCCGCTGGATATCAGAAAAGCATGCCGGAAGCGGCTTATCCACCCACCCAAAAAATGTCTAGAAAACCCAAGTTCAAGCCGGAAAGCATCCCTTTAAGTTTTTAAAGAAACCATCGAGTTGATTAGTCCATCAAGTGCGGTGCCCTCCATTTCCGGTGACACACACACAATCAGACTTCGAGATATTGACTGTACGCTAGTGGGCGTAACATTTTCGGGCGGAGTGCTTCTGAAGTCCTGCTCAGCAACCAGGGCACCTTTCGTCGCCAAAGCGCCACACTCCGCTTACCTTGGCAGCCATAGTGTTTCGTGTGGAGCGTATACTCCCTCCGATGCAACCCCTCCTTATAGTAATCGCTTCCTCTAAATGGTGTAGAAGGATTACAGCTTATTTTTGTTCGACAAATATGAAATCCGAACATTTCATGATGAGAATCAAGAAGAAGATGGAATAAAAATCATTTGTCCCCTTTTTACTTCTTTTTACTTATTCTTACTCCTTCCTGAAACATTGACTGCTTACCCTAGATAACTATTATGAAACCTTGTAAACTCAACACGAAAAAAAAACGAGCAGAAGAAAAGCACATGGAACCTGCATCATTTTTGCGCGATCTGCCAACGTAGAAGGGTCTCCCGGCTGCACCCATATTTGACGTAGGAGATATCGACGCCGCACATGTTGGATTTGTAACGAAGGCAGGTAAGGAACAATAACTGGAATTTGCAGAATCATTCGGAGTGTTCTCACTTAACAAATCCCCAAAAAAAGCTTCACTTAAGATCTGGATCTACTCCTTTTTCTCCTGTCCAAATGGGCACCGCAGCAGCATTCTCACCAGCTCGGTAGAATACTTCACCAGGATTCGCGAACAGCAAAATATTATCTGAAATGGTTAGCGTGTGCAATGAAGTTGCTATCTGATGCTCATCAGATAATTTAGATTTTGTTCAACTTGTCTGTGAGGATTCTGTAATACTTCATATATTTATTCGGACTTGTGAAAAATCCTGTCCTTTTTCGACACCATTCGAGTGCACTATTTCCACTACCGCCACCATTATAAAAACTGTTTGGAAGAGCTTCTCTTGCTCTATCTGGCACTCGGGTCATCTTTGTTTTAAAACATTTTCATATAGCTTCTCAGGTGAAGAAATAAAAATGCACGTGGCTTAGATTTGCAATAAATATGCTTTGAAGGTGTGTTCGAAAGTTCTTGTAATGACAACATCTTCGGAGATGATGAAGGTGGTGGTCGGATATCACATGTTGCCAACGATTAGCCGAAGCTCTGGTTGAAGCATGCTGCACAAGACTATTGAAAAGGTTCCGCTCAAGCGGGACATAACTGGTCTCTGGTTACCTGGCATAGAAAGAAGCTATAATGTCCAAAAAATTGATGAGGGCGTGCCGCGACAAATCACCAATTAGAAGGGTCTACTCCTCACCCTTGTGTGTGACTAATGCGGCTCGCTTCTGGCTTTTGGCCGTGGCATACTATGTGGAACATTTCTTTGCCACAGCATGCGAAGCTTTGCAGAATGGATTGACCACGATCCATTTGCTAAACTGAGGCTAATCGAGGAAAGGTCATAGTGACTTCCATAAGGTCAGCGGCTGGCCCAGTTCTCCAGTACCAGGTTAAACTGTTACAGTGGGAAAGCACCCTTCACAGCTCATCAAAGTACACCAAAAACTCCGACACATGTGCCCAGCATTGCCCATCATGAAGGAACTAACACACGACTATCTTTACTCAAGCCAAACATAAATATCTTTATCACTTTTTCGAGGACACCAATAACTCGGTTGAAGAGAAATGTTTTGACCTAACATGATGTTGAGCGAAAGTTGCCTCTTGCGCTCCAGCACTCTGAGCAACCAGACCAAGTAAAATGGTCTTAATAGCAATGGTTCTAACAGTTGTTGATTCAACCGAAAATGTTTTGTGTAAGCCAAGATTTTTCTCTCATTTCGTGGATGTTGCGTGTTATATCAAAACCCCGAAGTCTTTCTAACAGTACGCCAAACACAGTCAACTTTTGGCGCATAACATGCATCAATTAATTGAAGATTGACCTTAACGTATTACCCTTCCTAGTTAGGAGGTGCCACGTCACCGTAGACCACAAACGTGGAGTTGGCCATAAGGGGTAATCAGACATGTTTGGAACTTTCGAGTTAACAAAAGTGTGTTCAACCAATTTATTTATTCTGTTCAAGATTTGTTGTAATCTCTATATGGAATTTTTTCATTTGTGTGAATTTGTCAATATAAGTTCTTGTGTGTCACGAAGTTCATCTTAATAAAGAACTAAAAAAAATGAGGACGAGAAGGAGATTCCAGAGTTTGCCCCCTCCAGATGTAAAAGGGGGACGCAAATCAACAAAATTAACAAATATAAACACATTTTCGGTTCGTATGAGGAGCCCTGAAAAAATGCAAAAATCCGCGCATGCCCAAGGATTTGAACATCTGATGACCTCACCCCTATGAAGAAAGCGTGCTATCCACTGCACCACCTAGTACCACATCAGACAGAACTCCTCACCGGCTCAACGTGAGCGTGGCAAGCGGGATGCGAGGATGTAGAGGGCGCCATAGTGAGAAAGCCACAGTGAGAAGAATCCCTCGTAACTTCTTTCAGAGAATCGTTCCGCAGATACCGAGAACGGATTTGAGCTCAGCGTCGCAAGACGAGTACAGCGGACTACACCTCATTACAAATGGCCGGACTGACCAATTGAGCATTCCTCGTGAGGCTAATCGAGGAAAGGTCATTGTGACTTCCATAAGGTCAGCGGCTGGCCCAGCTCTCAAGTACCAGGTTAAACTGTTACAGTGGGAAAGCACCCTTCCTTCTACAGCTTCATTCAAAGTAACCAAAAACTTCCGACACACTCTAGTGCCTGCGACCTCATTGTGCCTCAGCCATTTGCCCATCATGAAGGATACTACTGAACACAGGACTTACCTTTTTTCGCTGTCAAGTATGAGATGATCTACAGGGGGGGGGGCCCAAAAAAAGAGTCTCGCTCTTTGTCGAAGGCGTCATAATTCATCGAACGTTTTCGTTCGCAAAGGGACGGCCGCTGTGTATTGGGAGTTATACGCGAATTTATTTCCTTAAGATGTCCCCGGCATTGATCAGAAGTCTAGCCCATACCATAATCGCTCCATTTCTGAAGTCTGCTACATATAATTTCTTCAAACTCGAAAACTGGCTGAATGCTTCGAAGGAGCAACTACTCGTGTGCACTGTGCAACTTATGCCACTTGGCTTTCTGACCAGCGTTTGAGGAGACGTTGTAATCGTCTATGGTTTCTCGACGACCTCGTTGACTCGTACCGCGACCGCCGTGTTTCCGTGGGAAAATCTTCTGATGCCGTCGTTGTAGAAAGCCCCTATGTGATTCTTTTGATAGAATAGAATCGTGCTCTTTAATATGCTCAATCAAGCTCATTCGGTTTGGTTTCGGCAAAGTGTAATTAATCCTGTATTTTATATTGTGTAGTGGAGAGCTGACTTCTTTTTTTGGGCCCCTCCTGCGCCCACCTGTGTATCACTTCTTCGAGGACCTCGATAACTCTGTTGAAGAGAAATGTTTCGCGCTAACATGATGTTGAGCGAAAGTTGCCTCTTGCGCTCCAGCACTGATCCCGCAACCAATACTCAAAAGGTAAAAATTGAATAATAGCAATGGTTCTAACAGTTGTTGATTCAACCGAAAATGTTTTGTGTAAGCCAGGATATATGCCATGGAAGTTCGAGGTCGGAATACAATTAGACTTTTCAAAACCCCTAAGTATTAGGTTGTCTCATAAGTGATGTCGTTTTTTTTCAACCAAAAAATTTTCATCTAAATCATGAAACTTTTACATCGTTTTATATATCATTCGAAAGAGAATTGTCTGCTCTACAAAATGCTGTGTTCCGCTTCCACCGCTATTTCAGAGTTTTCGAATTTCAGGCCAGCAAAATGGGAGGTCTCGCCGGCAAAAATTGACCAAACCGACAACTGGCTGTAACTTTATTTTCCCTGGGGAGAAATCAACCAGTGATATACCCTATACTTACCCATGACCTCTTCTAAACATTCCACTCTTAGGTTGCCGAAAAAGCTTTGCCGTTTTTCTTTTCGAATTGGCTGACGGATAAGCCATAGCAATTTTCAAATTAAAATTGTTCCTCGTAAACGTCATTGTTTCATATCGAGTGGTGTTCCTTTTACGAGCACTTCTTCTGCTCTACTCGCTCATTTGTTTTGTTTCTCTGTTTGTTGGGAATTAGTTCGAATTTTAGATGTTTCGGTATAAGGTGCTTTACCGCGAAAGTGACCACATTTCTTTAGAAAATGAGAAAATCAACCAGTCGTACATTCCTAACTTAGTCATGACTTGTTCTTCAAATTCAACCAGTTCTTCAACGTCTCGGCCATAAAAAAATTTCGACCTAGATCACAGGTAATGGTGCTCGATCGTCGAGTTCTGGTTGAAAAACCAGCTCTGGAAATTGAACGACGCGATTTGTAGGAAAACCTAGTAGTGTAATGATTAGAAGAGGTCATGCATAAGTAGAAGGTACATCATAGATTGATTTCTCCCAAGGAAAGATAATGTTAGAGATAGTTGTCGGTTTGGCCATTTTTTGTCGGCCGGACCTCCCATTTCACAGGCCCAAAATTTGAAAACCCTGGAAGAAATGTGGAAGTGGGACATAGCATTTTGTAGAGCAGACAATTCTCTTTCGAATGGTACACAACACGATGTAAAAGCATGGAGGTTTAGATGAAAATTTTTTGGATGAAAAAAAGCGACACTGTTTATGAGACAACCTAATACATATGACCCAAGTAAGTGATATAACT